TTAAAAAGGTCCAGTATTGATGGTGATAAGAAACAGAAACTAGAGCCCGGAACAGAAACTAGCCGTGGAACTGTGGTTAATGCATTTTAAGATTTTAAACAATACACTCTCTATGTACCATCTAGCAGGCTCATGAGCATTCCTGGCATGTTCTCAAATCTTGCTTCCAGGGAAGTAAGGAGGAGCATGTTCTTTTGGCACCTATAACAGTGACAGCACTGGAGAAGCCTGTTCTCCCCTAACTGTGCAAAGGCAAGTAAAATGCTATGGAGACAAACACTGGAGTCTCTGTGATGAATTACATCTAGACACAGCAGTGAAAAAAGTATAAAAAGTAATATCAAAACAATTAAAATGCAGGATGAACAATCTAAAACATTCCCATTTTAGCACAAAAATATACATACGTGGGGTTGGAATGTAGCTAAGTAGTAGAGCACATGTAGAGTGCTTATTTGAATCTAGGGTCTATAGCCAGCATACAAAATGTACATGAAGCCATGGGGTGTAATCTAATCATGATGATAAGTGGTACAATATGAAAATAAAATACACCTGCAACAGGTTTCTCAAGTATAGCACTAGTGATATTTAGGCTCAAGAGTTCCTTCTAAAAAGGTCTGACCATTTTTTTCTGCATCATTATTCAACATCCTTGATCTCCACTCCCAACATGTTTCTAAATCTTTCTCATGATCTATATCATGATTACAAGTAAAAAGATTGAGACCCATTCAAGGGTTTCTCATGTGCAGAATTACCATTGCTGGAAATGACTCACAGAAGATGCAGTGGACACAGATCTTGAATGACAAAGTACAAAAATCAGCAAAGACCCCAAAGAGCTTCCAAATTTCTACCTCTGCACTTCAAACTCAAGTTTAGCAAGTCTTTCCAAAGTACACTGTTATTATCTTTGCAACCATCTCCTTGTCCTTAAAACCTGTGATACATTTCAGATGTTATGAGTGTGAACAGCTACAACAGCCTCCACTGTTTCATGCTTCATGATGACACCCACAGGCAGCTACAGACAGACTAAACTGTGCCTTGAACTGAAGCTGGTGCTGTATCTCTGCTGTGTCATAGGCCATTCCCATGGCAATCTGCAGAACAGCCACAGAAAATGGGCAAGCCAACAGAGCTCAAATTCCCCAAGAGAGGAATTTCAGAGATTGCAGTCTCTTTTAATTTATGGGACATGTAACAAAGGCTCATGGTCATCTCTTTTCCCAGATATATGTATATATCACTGTCAAGGGGAAAGAGCCTTAGAATTCATAGTACTGGACAGACATGCGTTCATTAATGTTATAAAAATGAAAGTGGGCTTACATGAGCAGGCAAACTGGTGTGGCAAGGCAGGCTACCCAAAGTTAAAATGGTTAGAAAGTTTTCCAAAACCAGCATGAATCAGAAATACAAATCGAAGTGTTTTATCTTCAGCCAGGCACATGGTTGGTGGTTTGTGTTCGAACTGCTCAGGCTCATGTCTGATCATTGAAAATCTCTATCCTATCCCCTTGTTAGGGTCATGCAAGCCAGACACTGTGAACAAAGTAGGGACATTTCATAAAGATTATCACCATCCAAACTACTCAAAGCAAAGAAAGAAACCCCAAATTCATAGTGTTCCTTTTCCAAATACTCCTCATGTAATTCTCCTGATTCAGTTGTTTTGGAAAACCTGATTAATACCTCACTCAAAAGAAGAAACAACAAGTTAAGTAACATGTTCTATAGAGGACTTTAAGAGGATTTGAAGGTATGAATCTAGTGACATTACTGAAGTTAGCAAAAATATGGTGAACTTAAAGAAGTTCTAAACGAAATGTGTTGAAAGTGCACAGAATATACCTAGTCAAGCCAACATTACTTGTACACCTTGGAACCTTTAAACCTGCTCAGGAATCTGCTTAACTTGTGTTTGGGGAAATATATATAACATGTTCCAAATTTCATAATGAATTACTAATATCTCTTGAACTTTACTGAATGTAGTCCACTGTAATCACTGGTTGTTCAGCACCAATGTCCTGCTGCTGACAGAGCAGTGATTCATGACTGCTGTCCTCCATCATGCATAAGTACTGTACCATTTATCACTAGGAAAATAAAAAATAAAAAGTAAAAAAAAAAATAGAAAAGATTTCTAATAGAATGTTTTACTACTGTATTTTTGAGAAGATTTTTTTACAGGGCCCAGGGAATGTTAAACTTACTGTTCACTAGAGATAAATCCCAGAATTTATATTTTATATTGAAAGAGGGTCTCAATTCTTCAGGCCATTGTTATAACACTTCTGGTTTCAGTTCCCCAAGTGGCTGAAAATAAAGATGTGAAGTACTATACCTCACTGATATTTACTTTTACCCAAGCATTTAAATCTTGGTACATCACAATGTTTAAAAACAACCTTAAACTGGCATGGTGACACATATGTATTATCCCCACAGTCAGAGAGTTAAAAACACTATTAAAAATTCACACCTCCTGGAGGGCAACTTGGTAAGTCCTGGCCTCAAAGATTTTAGGAAATTAAAAACTTAGCTCAGAGCAAAATTCCAGAGTTCAGTCCCTGTACACACACACACACACACACACACACACACACACACAGCATGCTGAGTGTGGTGCTGTATACCTGTGGTCCTCACTCTTGGGATGCTGAGGCAAGATGACTGCCATGAGTTAGAGGCCTGGCTGCACTACAAAGTGGGATCCTGTCTCAAAAATTAATAAACAAATTAAAAACTATCAAGAACACCTAAAAATCTTTGATCTATTGGGGATAACCCCATCATTCTACTTCAGCTATGGTGTCCACACTAATTTTAAACCTAAAACTAAGCCAGATAGTTGCCTAATTTCAGATTTTGCCTTGAAAATCATTAGATGAACTGATCAATGGTAGCAGAAGGTATAGTTATTATTAAATTCCCATCTTTTCTTTAAATCTGTGACCTTTGCCCAATTCACAGAGCAAGAAGCACAAAAGTCTTCCTTCATGCTTACACTCAGACAATCTTGAGTTTCAGAATCTTCTATATTTTAGTCACTACTATTGGCTAAACAAAAAATCCTTCATAACTAACCATTAATATGATGCACAACTTCTATTTCTGGCTTCTCCCCTGCTCTAGTATTCCTTGGAAACTAACACAAGCAGCTTTTTCTATTTAAAAATATGAACAATTAGGCCAAGAACTATGGCCCTTAATACAGAGATGATGTCCTGGCTGCTTTCCACTCCTACAATATCACAAATGTAAATACCCCAATTCAAGGTTCTCTCAATGTGTGTTTAATAGACAGCCCCGTCTGGAAGTTTTCTCTGCAAGGTACACTTTCCATTTCTTTGCTAATTCTTTAACACCCACTATGTTTTCCTTGACTTTCTAACTCTGTGGCAGAACTCATTTGAACTGAGTGGACCTATCTAAATAAATTTTTAAATATTTTTGGCATTGCTCTGCATGGAACTCAGGAGCCCTCTGGGATTTTGGCAGGTACTCCTCCACTGGAGCACATCACCACACTGTTATCAATTCTCAGGTTCTTAATACCTAACATGGTTTTAGAAATGCAGGTAGGTAGTATAAATTCAGAGGGTCACTACAAAGATTAAAAAGCAAAAGTTTGAGGAGGAATTGTGAGTATGAGTCCCTGCATCACAGATATTTATAACTTTCAGATCTTTCAGCTGTGCTGCTGATAGGAATAAAACCAGGGACCTAGTTCATCACCACTGCATCCACCTCCAGTTTGCAACTTGGATTTTCCTGAGGCCCCTGCTCTGCCCAGAATGGTGCACATGCAAATGTAGCAGTGGGTTTCTCAAGAAGGCACTCAGGCTGTCAGTGTCATAGAGAGCAAAATGTCCTGAGAACTTAGTACTGGCCTATAATTCAGTTATATGCAGCTGAGTTAAGTAGAAATATTATAGGCAGTCAGAGAGGGCTAGGCCCTCAGTGGAGCCAGTGCAAAAGACCAGACACCTTGCAACTATGGGGGTAAGAAATATCTCCCTCTGTGGGCCAGGTCTCAAGACAAATGAGAAAACAATCAAAACCACAGTTTCAGTGTAAACATCAGGGATTTATAGTCTCAACAAGTATCCATCACCTTGAAGAAGCCAGAAGCCACTAATCCAATTCCTTAGGGCAAAGTATCTGTTCCCCCATGCTACTATCCCTATTGGATCCCAATTTAATCAATTTACTTGAGCAAATAACTCATAATCTTGATTGACCACAATTCTGTTCTACCTCATCCCTCTGCACTGTGAGTTTCCATTTTTAGCCACTTTGGACCTGCCTCACATTGTGGTTTTGTTCTGTAAAAATCCCTAGAAAACCAGGGTCCTAGGAAACCCACTGGGGACCCATTCTGTTTGTTTGTCTCTGAATGTCCATCTTTTTCGATGTCTTTCTCTCTCTCAGACACGGTAAATTCCACCAGTCTGGGTCTTAGCTCTGCCTAACATCACATTCTCCCAACTTGGTACTGGGCTCAGAGAAGCAACTTGCTCTCCAAGAGTATCTCCTATCCTTTTTTGTCTTTATCATGCTAAAATCTTACTAGAACACAAGCTTTCTTTCTATCAATAAATATATAGTCCTCTCTTAAACTCCAGTGACCCTAAAATTCATTCTTTGATTTTAGAGAAAACGAACTTATACCGGACATTTAGTAAGTTGTGAGTTTTTTTTTCCTTTATACCAGCAAAGGGCAAAAGGAACAATGAATGACTCAACTCACATCTGACACTACATCGGGATCGGGATCTAACTGGGGTGGGGGAGCCCTAGCCAACACAGGATTTTTTCCCCCCTTTGGTATCAGGGTTCAAACTCACGATGTAGCACTTCTCAGACAGGCGCTGTGCCTCTCTGAGCTATATCCCAGGCCCTAAACCACTATAGATAGTTCAAACCAATTCTAACCCGATCTCTTCCAGATTCCACTCCATTTCAGAGCCCCCGTCCCACAACGTTACCATTGTGCAGCTTAAGGGTCTCCTAGCGTCTTTTCTATGCAGCCTGTAGCTTGTATAAGTCACAGAAAGCAGCCGATCCAGCTGGGATGCTCTCAGTTAAGTACATCTGAATAACACTTTGGCGCCATGACACCGGAAGAACCCTCCTTCTTGGCCTCCTCTGATTGGACAGTCTGTACAGTTTGCTTCCTTTTCATTGATTTACTTCCGTGCTATTGCCCTCTGATCCAAGCAGAAAAGAGAAACAAGACCTGCAAGAGTGGGGCCCAGGTGCAAGATTGTAATGCAGAGACTTCTGGACCAGGTGTTCTTCTAAAATATTAATCTCATCTCACCTGCATAATAATACTTGCATTTAAAGGCTTTACCCTGAGGTCTCAGAATTAACCCCATTTTCTTATAGGACTCAGTGGACTCTTCCTGAAAATGGACCATGAATGTGTCCAGGAGGTTCCAGGGTTAATATTCTAGTAAAGACTCAATAGTCTTATGTCAGAAAACAACCTGGCGGCTGGGGATTTAGTTCAGCGGCATAAGCGCCTGCCTTGCAAGCAGGTAGTCGTGAGTCGTGAGTTTGATCCCTGGTACCAGTAAAAAGGAAAAAGACAAAAAAAAAAAAAAAAAAGAAAAAGAAAACAACCTGAGTCCAGGCCAGCCCAGGACACAGTGGAATAGAGGGAGAACTGGCTGTTTGAGAGATCAATATCTGAGAATGAAGCACCTGGCTTCACACTGAAAATTTTCACATTATGTATGATAGAACTGTGGGGGGAAGGAGGAGGACCGGTGGTGGCTGAAAAGATAAGAAGTATGAAATATAAATAACCCTTATTAATGCTCCCCTTATCCTTAAGCTTCTAGAGGCAGCCCAACTTCCAAAGCAGGCAGCAGTCATCCATTGCAGAGGACACCAAAGCTCTACAGATCCTATTGCTCAAGGCAATGCCTTTGCAGACTCACAAGCCAAGTTAGTTGCACAAAGACCCTGCCCTTCTCATCTTCTCCCGTTAGTCCCAAACAGTCTACCTCAGCCCAATTATTCACCAGAGCAGTTACAGCTACTTCATAAACCAGGTTACACACAAAACACTCAGGGATGGATTTTTCAGGGATCTAAACTTGTTCTCCCACATCAACAGGCCTCAGACATCATCTCCAACTTACACAACTGTTTTCATATAGGATCACAGGCCCTATACAAACTCTTAGCCCCGATAGTCACACAACCTTCTCTAAAAGCTATCATTCATAAGATTACTCACACCTGTGATCTCTGTGCCAGGCCCTCTCCTCAGGGATGCATGGCACCCCCTTCCTTTCCTACCCATCAATTTTGGGGATACACCCCTGGTCAGGACTGGCAGATAGATTTTACACACATGCCCTGCCACAAGACTCTCAAATATCTTCTCACCTTTGTTTGTACCTTTTCAGGGTGGATAGAAGCCTTTCCCACAACCAGGGAAACTGCTGAATCATATTACAAGAAATCATTCCGAGGTTTGGTCTACCTCAGAGTATTCAGTCAGATAATGGTCCCACCTTTATTTCTCAGATCACTCAACAGGTATCCTTGAGCTTACATATCACCTGGCACCTACACATCCTATACCATCCACAATCCTCAGGAAAAGTAGAAAAAGCAAATGGCCTCATAAAGACACACCTTACAAAACTCACTTTAGAACTATACCAATCTTGGCCTCAACTTTTGCCCTTAGCCTTAGCTAAGCTCAGGGCACTTCCCCGGGCTCCTACTTTCTTAAGTCCTTTTGAACTTATGTACGGCAGGCCATTCTTACTCCACAATCTTCCTGGCTCCCCCAAATCTCTCTCCCCTGGCTGACTATGTCCCAGTCCTCTCCTTCCTCCAACACCTGTTGCAACAACATGCTGATCTCTGCCTTCCACAACCCTCTGGAGAGGCCAAACCAGATCCTCCCATATCCCCAGGAGATCTAATTTATCTCAAATGTTCTAAATCCACAGGACTACAACCAAGGTGGAGTGGCCCCTATCTGGTCTACTTGGCTACCCCTACAGTGGTCAAAGTTGCTGGACTCCCATCCTGGTTTCACATCACTCAGGCTAAAAGGGGCCCTCCCAGCCCTAAATCTGATCATTCTGAGTGGTTATCTCATCTTCTGTCACCCACCTGTCTCCGTTTCACGAAGGCCTCACAGCCACAGTTAACAGGCTAAGTCATGTTTTGTTATCCAATTTGGTTCCTAATCTCTTACGCTCTATTAATGATCATTTTTACAGCAGGACTCTTGACAGTCTTTCCTAGAGACCCCACATCATGCGTAAGATCATCTTTATAATGTTCTATGTGATAACTGTTGTGGTTCTTTCTACCCTCAGCTGTCTGGTTAAACATGACATCCCTGAAAGCCTAAGCCCTTACCTTCCCTATACTGGACAGCCAACGTCTCCCCTACTCCCCCTATTTTTTCCAGCTCAACTCCTAGACCAGAGACAAGTTTTACACACCTACCCTCCTAACTTTTATGCCTTCAGATGGGGGAGTAATCACCTCTCATAATTTCACTCCTTCTAACCTCACACTTATTTTTCAGAATTCTACCTCACCATGATAATGATCTTACCTCAACATCATCCTGATAAAATACCATGTCTAAATCAAAGGTACCTTCCTCTCTACCTCACCTGGGTCCTTAAATATGACAGTTCCATGTCTCCTAATAACATCATGTCTCTTTGTTTTTCCAGTCTGACATACGTACATTCACCAGTGAAGTTGTCCTGGCTAAAACACCTGGCATCAGCATCTACCTGGGCATCAACCATCATCCCATCAACTCCCCTAGGCTCCAGTACAGTGCCCCCTGCCAGCAGGAAGTAGTTAAAGAGAGAAATCTTTGCCCCTTTTCCTAAAAATCATAAGACGGGATATGAAAGGGTTGTTGACCCAGACCGCACACTGTAGCCAGAAAAAGCCTCAGCTGGAATTAGGGAGCTCCTGTCTCCCCTGCCCCTAGAGATTTACCTGTAACCCTATACCCCCCCCCTTTGGAATCTGCCCCTGGTGCCAAACGTGTGCCAATGAAATACCTGTGCATCCCTAATGGCCTTAAGGCACTGCCCTAAGCTTAGGCTACTTATATTCCCCCACACCAAGTGTCTGCGAGAGAGAGATCACCAGATTTCAGTGGCCAGCTGCCAGTCCTCTCTCTCCATGTTCCCAGAATAAAGGCCTCTTTTGTTTTATACTCCTCATCTTTTGGGAATATTTTTCATCTTCTGGAAATAATCTTATCAATGTCTATCAATCTATTAATTTTTCAGCTATGAAAATGAATTTCTGACTCTGAAAAGGAACACAAAACATTAGAGTTAACATTAAACTTTTCTGCAGATATTCATGGCCTTCATAAAAGCCACCTAGTGCCTAGATATTTAAGAAGTTCAAATTTTACTGTTATTAGAGTAAATACCATGGATTTCCAGAAAAATTGCATGTTTCAGATTATATATTCTATACAGTTTTCAAATTATTAGTTGTCATTCATTTTTATACCAGTGGGTTCTTCCTATTTTTTGTCCTTGAAAATTTGATCCTTACAGTATGCAGAAAATCCCCAAAACTCAATAAGGCATCTCCAGGCAAGAGTAGGACAAGACAGAATGGAAGGAAAGCACTAATTCTTTTTGAAAAAAGAGAGGCATTTTTACATTAAAATCCATAGGACAAAATTCCAAAATTCTTTCATTAGAAAGAATTGAACAATGTGTATACAAAATGAAAATTTTATGGGCTTTTAAAATGCTTTTTGAATGCTTAACTCTCTCAATAATTTTATTTTAAGACAATAATAGCAAACAAGAATAAAAACTATGATACAGAATTTTAAAAAAGGATAAAAAGAAATTAACAATGATTAATATATTGTGAATTGTTGGAGAGACCAAATATTTATAAAAGATGGTTTCCTAGCACAGACTTCCTTAAACCCTATCTCTCCACCTAGACATTTTCAGCCAAGACAATAAACCATGTGGGAAAGAGAATAAAATTCTCCAATAAATGAAAAAGTTGTGTATAATATGATAGCAGTATCATGCAAAGAAACCAATGTGAAAGGAAAGAAAATGCTTTAACTACTACAGACATGCAAGTTCTTCATCCAAAGTCATGAAGATAACCAGAATTCTGAAGACTAATTGTATGAGGACAGTCAGAATGAGAGGCACAGTGTAACTCCATCTTTGATCACTTATCAATGATGAGGCAGGAAAACTTACCAACACAAGAGTAATTCTTCTATAGTATACTACTCCTTCCTCATAGGTTGAAAAATGGTCTTCTGCAAGTTACTAATTTCACCACAGTAAAGTTATCACCTGGGATCATTGCACTTAGCCTTTTTGTGAAATGCATTGGTGTGATAGAGGCCTAGAACAGTAGTAAAACACATGTCTGAGTGTGTCTGACTGAGAGGCATGACCTTGGACATTACCTCCAGTCTCCAGTTCCTTCTTCTCAGTCACTTTTCCTCCTGAAGAATCCTGATTGGAATTCTGAAGAGTTCAGAGTTCAGTACAGCTGGGACAATATGAAAGTTAAAACTTTCTTTGAATTCTCATGGCCCTTTCATAAGTTTGCCAATGTGGGGAAATACTGAGAAACTTAAGTTATTGGAGACCAACAACCATAGACAATGGCAAAAACCATAGCTTCTCCCTGGGGAAAAATACCTCTCTATTTCTTTTTAATCTGCCTGGAATACAAAATTATTGGATGATGCTAACTGCATACAACATTCTCCTTTTTTTGTGACCTAATCCTACATCGTTGTGAGAACACCATCTCTGTTTTTGTTTTTGTAAGTAGAAGCAGAACACACATAATTAAGGTGACAAAGTTTTGGGTTGCTGAGTATGGAATGCAGGAGAAGCTCACTGCATTCTTGGCAAAAGCACCCCAGTCAAGACAGGTCACCTGTGATGTTAAAACTTTCTTGGAATTCAACATGAGTATAAAAAGGCAGAGTTCTGAGATGAGTTCTAGATGGAAGACCCTGCTCTGCAGATATTTATGAATTTCAGAACCTCCAGGTCTGCTGCTTAATGAATGGGGACCATGGTTACAGCACAACACAGATGCACCCAGCTCCTCCAGACACCTGAGTTAGACTCAGTACAGCCATTCTCCCTAGAGTGATATAGATGAGCCTGTGCTTGGTGCCACCCAAGATCGCATGGTGTGTTTGTAGAGTCACAGATGAAACAGTATGCAGGAAACTCTAAACTAACACTGACACAGAAAAAGGGAAAGAGGACAAAAGGATCAAAGACCAAGAGAACCTCAGAGTCTGAACCTAGCAAGGGAGGCTGTACATCCCTGTAGGTAGTTCTGGTCACTTCCTATCAGACCTCAACCCAATTCCATACCACCCTCTGCTTCTGTCACAAAACATCACCATTGCATGACCAGGGTTTCCCAGAGTTCTCTCCAAGAAGGCCACAGTTAGCATAAGTCACAGAAAGCTGTCTCAGGGATGAGGGTGACTCTCAGTAATGTACTAGGGACACACACTTTGCTGTCAAGATAGCAGGAAGAACCTTCCTACTTTGGCCCACCTGAGTGGACAGTTCATGCAGCCTGACTCTTTATTCCTGATTCATACTAACTGCATTGTGTTCCCTCAGAGACAAGAGTGATAAGAGAAACAAATTTCTAACTGCAAGAGTGAGGCCCAAATAAAAGTTTGTAACCAAAAGACTTCTGGACCAAGTCTCCCTCCATGATGTTGACATTGCCTCTCCTGGGGGGAATTTGTGGTCTTTGATCCTGGCTTTTCAAATTTGTCTTTGTTTTCTTAAAGGACTCAGTGGGGTCTTCCTGAAAATGGGTTGAACATGTATCTAAAAGATTCCAGGGTTAATGTCCTAGCAAACAGTTAATCTAATATTTGTAAACATTGTGAGTCCAAGCCAGGACAGGACACAATGGAAGACACTGCAGGCAGGCAATTTGAAAAGGTATTATTTAGGAATGAGGCAAGCTTCACTGTCAAGATTTTAATACTCTCTCAAACTCCTCATTTTAAGCCAGGAAGATGAATATGTGCCTCTCCTAAATAAACAAAATTGTTTTATGAAGAAAAAGTTAGAGTTAAAATATAATAGTATTCTGCAAAGAGTAAAGATGAAGAAAGCCACACATTGCAACTCCCTTAAGACAAGCTTCATACTTCATTCAGAATCATAAAAAGCCCTGAAATCTGAAGCTAAACATATAGCCAGAGATGTGGGCCAGGCTAGATGCTACAATGGAGCCCCATGCTTGATCCTCTTGGTTACTATTCAGTGATGCCATGGTTACACGTAAGGACTGGAGACTGTAAGCTGTGCATGCCAAATAGTTTCCTTTTCACACACTGAAATTTTCTGCCATTCAACACACATATTTCAGAAGGAAAAATAATGTGGATTCATGTGATACTCTTATTTACACTTGGTTGGCTCAAAAAACATATAGGATATTTGTTAAGCCTACTTTTTAGTATCTGGCTGAGTCCTTCTAGTGTGACCTCAAACACCAAGCCTATGCCCTTCCTTTAAAGCTTCTTCTTTAATCTCTACAATTCTTGTCTCTGATAAATTAGTTACTGTTTTCATGTTATTTACCATGTTTCTGCATTAGCATTTTTCAGTGCTTTCTGAGAAAATAAAACCCTTAATATCCCTGAATGTGCTAACACGATACAATATCATGACACATTTCTCTGCATGTACACAAAAATTCGTATGCATGCTCTTCTATCTGGAAATTATTTTTCTAGGTCACTACTTCACCTGCATCATAAACTCACTGTATCAGATCTCATTTAAAAATTGCCACTTTCAGACACCTCAAACATTACTGAAAACTTAAGAACACCTGGCTTACCTCATCACACTTTACTCTAGCCTGTCACGTTCATTGTAAGAGAATTTCTCAATTTGAGCTTTGAAAAACTGAAGACACAGAAGAGCTTTGTTTTTAGTCATTGTTCTCTCCAGACAGGTACACCATTTCTATATCAAATGAGCACAAATTCAGTGCTAAAACGGCATGAGGCACTAGATAAGAAAGTTGCTGTGAGAATATGAAAGAAAGAAATGTGAAATTAACCATTTCCACAAAAGGGTGGCATTTTGATCAGAAGTGCTTGATACACAAAGGAATTTCCCAGGCCTGTTAAAAGCAACACTGATGCTAGAGAAATCAGCCTGAAACAATTCTGAGCATGGAGAGAAATCATCATTAAATACTGTGTGAATGTAAGCCACAAAAGGAGCAAAAGTCTTCTGAGAAATTTAATCCTTTTATGCCTATAGGAGCTCTGTAACAGATTTCAGCACCATTTAGAGGTTGATGGGAGATACTAGATGGAATACTGGGGATTTTGCTTCAATTCTTGTAAATTTCAGATACTTCTATACTGCTCTGCTAATGAATTTTTGGTGAAACAAAATGTGTCTCATGTATATTTCCTGACAGAAGCAGAAATCTGTTGAAGGACCAGATGAGTTGCAAACTATTGGTTAACAAAAGCAAAGATTGCCTCTATGAGCTTACACTTTATTGATAATTCAGGGCCAGACACCAGACTTCAAAAGCACCAGTGTTCAGTCTCTGGTAAGGAGTTCAGGTGGTATTAGACCATATCATAGAGGATCCAAGTATGCCTAGTTCTTTCCCTCCATGAAAACCAGAGTATAATGATTTGTTTTGATGGCGAATCTAAAAAAAAATATTGCAGTATTTTTTCTGCACAGAATATTCCTCTATAATCTTCAGGTTAGTTCAAGCTGTAATGAATGACAGGCATGGTATCCATTTTTCAACTATATACTATCCGAGTGTATAATAAATGATCCTATTCTTGTACACTGAAACACTGTTATGGAGCCAAAGGTACTCTAAATGCTGTATTCTGTACCTTTTGTTACAAGGTGATTTGCTGTCTCAAAGAATATCATACAGATTCTCTTAAGGATATTAATATATTGATGTTTTAGAAGAAGGCCCCTGGAATATACTCTAGAATAATACATTCCATTCTTCTTTATCCTTTGTTGACTCTGTGTCTTTCAAAATTTACTGGATGAAATGAGTGTAACAAGATTTCCTCATACTATGCATATGTAATATTTCTTCATTTTAACACGATGTCCTCTGAAACTGATCTATATTATAATTTTCTTCATTTTACATTCTGTA